CGTTGCCGGTCCCGGTCCGGTACGGGCGCGACACTGAGGGTTGCGATACGTTGCCGGACACAAAAAAAGACAAAAAGGAAAAAAAAAAAAAGGAGAGAGACATCTAAATTAATGTTTTTTGTTTAAAATAACAATAATAACGATATCTTGTAGGGTTGCGATCCGTTGCCGGACACGAAAAAAGACAAAAAGGAAAAAAAAAAAAAAGAAGAGAGACATCTAAATTAATGTTTTTTGTTTAAAATAACAATAATAACGATATCTTGTGGTGTTTAAAAAGCTCTTCATGTACTCTTTCATACAGCTGGATTAAACACCCACTGTCCCTCAAACATAGCATGTACATTCTTGCTTCTGTTCCTTTGGTCTCTCTGTTTCCCGTCATTTGAAGCCATGTTTTTATCACAATATCTTCAAGAAGAGTTTACGCCCACTCCTTAATTTATGTCTCCTCCCCACCCCTCTAGCCTATGCTGTCTGGGTCTTTTATTTGGAACTTAAACTGAGACAACTTTTTGTTCCTTTTTTGTTTTTAGTTCACTTTGTGTGCCTTGATTTCTTAATTATAATGTAAATTTAATGTCCTTTCAGTTGTCTTCTATAGGTTATCTATGTAGTATATGTTCAACAAGTTTGTTGATTAATTAAATTTGTTGAAGAATAAATTGGTAATGAGTGACTGATCTGGTTTTCCAGGACAGAATCTTCCAACCATTACTTAATAACTTGTTATCCTGAGATTAGATAAAGGCAAATACCATAAATATAAACAAGAAAAGCTTTAATAAGTTCTTGGATGAAAGGTCCATGAGGGACAGATTAGGTGTTCACATTTCATCTTTAAACTTTTGAAATTGATTTGATGCCTGTTTAATAAAATTTTTCCTGGTATCACTGTCAAATGTATAAGGCTGACAGAATATATCATGGGTATGGAATTTATTTCATTCTAATGTGAGTCGTTGTACTATTCCTGGATGCTAAAGAAATAAAAGGCACAGTCCTTGAACTCCCAGACAATGTAAAATCTAATCGGATGCTAAAGATATACACATAAACAATTTGAGATGAAATCCAAAGAAACATTTTAGTAACTGTAAGAAAATATAATATAGTAGAGGCTAAAGCTGCAATAGATAAGGAAACTAGAAATAGAAAATGATTACAAGTGGGATGTGATTATTAGGGAAGGCATCTGAAAAGAGTTAAGATCTGGTTTGGAAGGTTAGATGGAAATATATGGAAGAGAAAGGGCACAGATTTTTCTAAGTAGGGAGAAGTACACACAAAACACAGAGGCAAAGTAGTAAGTCACGTTCAGGCAACTATAAACAGACAGGCTTGAGGAATCAAGGGAATGTATGAGGCTGGAGAGAGGCAGAGGGACAGTTGATAGAAGACATCAAATATGTTTATTTTTGAAATAGTGTGGAATTCTCTTTCTCTTTTCAGTAGAAATAACCTTCACTGTCAACAGCCCAGTCAGACCCTTTAGCTGATATAATGATGATCCCAGCATTGCAGGCTATTATTTGCAATAATTCCTGCCATATGATTATAATGGGAAAAACACATTGCAAAGTGAATTACTTTTGAAATGTATTGCATGCTGACATTTGGGAAATTAGATTCTGAACACAATGCATCCTGATTATTGAGATGCCTTCCCACCATGAAAAGATAAATTCAGTTCAACAATTTTTAAAAAATTTACATGTTAAATTAATTTAAAGTTCTGTCCTTTGGCAAGATTCTTCTCAAAACTTTTGGTCATTATTCAGATGAATAACCATGGATAGGGACTATTCTCGCCTCAGTAGTCTACATGGGTCTGAGGAGTCCAGAAATACCCTCATTCAACCATGTTAGCCCCATCTTAGGAAGAATCCTGTTGTGCCCATTCTCTTGTATACCCAACTGCTTCGGTGCTAGAGATGCCCCTGCTCAGCTGGCTTTCTTTCCATTTTCTGGAAAAAGCACAGCCACGCTCTCTTGTAAAGGACAAATGACTCTTCACTTTTCCATTCCCACTCAGCAAATTCCTCTGGCACCACTGGCCCATCTCATCATGAATGTAAATTTGCTTCGGCCCTTCCTCCTCCATAAGTTTTTGTGTTGATGGGCTGCTGGGCTGAGCAACAGTAAATTCAGCAGTCCTGACTCCAGAAGCACAGGTCAGGAATTAGCTTGAGGAATGGACTTCTGAGAGATACCACAAATGTTGCTATTTGAAGCCAAGGCCTTCCTTGTTTACTGAACATGTACAATTTGGATGCCTAATAGGACAATGTAATGAGAGAGGGGAAGATGGACAGGGAGATAATGGGATCTCACACGAAGAATAGAGAGTAAATCTGAAAAGGAGCTGGGAATGCTAAAGAAGGATAATCACATGAAAGCAATAGTTAAGGGTCAATATATTCCACATAAAACAGATCAGATAATTTTGATTATTAAGTTGATCTAAGCATGCATATAACTATGGCTTTATATATAACAATAGCTCTTGGTCATAAACCTGTACTTTGGCATCAGTGAGACCTGGGTTTGAGTCCTGGCTTTACTGCTTACCAGATTGATGATCTCAATTATATTATTTAACCTCTCTGAGTCTCTGTTGTCATAAACCTGTACTTTGGCATCAGTGAGACCTGGGTTTGAGTCCTGGCTTTACTGCTTACTAGATTGATGATCTCAATTATATTATTTAACCTCTCTGAGTCTCTGTTTCTTTATTCGTAAAATGAGAATGCTAATATCTCTTTATTCGTAAAATGAGAATGCTAATAGTATCTACCACAATAGGATTATTGAGAAGATAAAAAAGATAATACTTGCAAAGAGCTTAGTGCTATGTCTAGCATGCAGCAA